TGTGAATCCCCTGTCCTATTTTTTTGGAGACATCCGATACTTTTACTCGACAGTCGATCAACACCATCATCCTTCATGATGACGTCATCAGCCTCGAAAATTTAAACTCTTCTGGCGTGGATATTATCCAAAACCGTCCCACATATGACAGTTTTATCGTGATTGTTTAGAGGATATCAGAGGTTTTTATTGATTCTTCAGTGATTCTATGGAATGAACCAAGTTCTTCTTATTCTTCCCGCTTAACCGCAGCGACGTCGGAAGTACGGGTCAGAGGAGGCGAGCCGCCCCCTCAGTTTTTACACAAGGGGTCCGCGCCCCCTCTAAGAATGAGTCATCATTCAAAAGCGACTAACACATCTTCTACCTACGGCATGTACGTGCAGAAATTACAAAGAGTGTAGGAGTAGAGGATACGTTGAAAGAATTTGCCAGCAAAACTGCGGAGAGGCGGAAAATTTTTGGATATATATAATTTTTTATACTTGCTTTCTTTACAATGCTCAATAGTGCAATAAATAGGAACAAAATTTTTGTAACTTTTGTATGTTCTAGTTCTTCATTATTTTTTAAATAAATATTCATGATCTATGGGTATGGTCTTCTCAATCGAGTGAAGTATCTCTGAGTTGCTCAATTGCATATAACTAGACATCCTCCGACACTTTTTTTAATTTTTTTCAAAACTTTTCTTTCAAAAATACATTATTTGATTGATTAAATAAACAGGTTTCAGGGTCACTTACAAAACCCACTGCTTTGCATTAATTCGTACACAATTTTGCATGGGAGGGACGTTTCAGACTCCATGGTCGCTGATTTTTGCCCCCCCACCCCCCACCGTTATTCACTTCCGACGTCGCTGCTTAACCGTAATACATAGGGGGTCGCTGTTCTTTTTCTTTCTCTTTGGAGGAAATTTTGCTTGAACTACCATCATGAAAATCGTGCAAGGTCTTCGAAAAGCAATTTGAACTCTGGAGAATATCAGATATAAGAAGCACATTACACCTAATTACATTAAAAATAAACTAATGTAACGAACGACGTCGACCTTTGCTTAATTTTGTTGAGCCCGTGAATACTCGTACGCTAATTAATATCACTTGACTACTGGTTTTTGTTTCCCTAATTTCATTTACCTACCTAGGCATCTTATTTCACATTCACCTTGAAATTCAATTTGCGAAAAAAATTCCAGCTAAGTAATTAAATACCTGAGCACCATTTCCTACTACATATAATCATTGAAGCAGGACATACACCTTCACGCACCCCATTTCTGAAACACGCTTTTGCATTGAGACTTTTTCAGCGCCGCGCCAAATAAGGTTTGTTATTGATTACGGATAAAGGGAGGTTTATGCAAAACGAGGAACGGATTAATTTTTCACCAAATGACCGCCGTAGTGGAGTCGTTTTATTAGTTTTCCATTCGAAAATGGCGCGGTTGTAAACGCTTGTAAAAGAAAAATGAAGGTAAAAGTTACGCGAATTGTAAAACTTTTACAACCTTTATCGTTTATAGTATTGCATCTGGCGACAAAAATGTTGCTTTGAGTAGAATGTCAAAGCCGGTCTGTTCAGCGGAGCGAACCAATGGCCTTAAAATTATAAAGGGCGTTGCACTAAAAACTCATAAACTATGAAAATTGTGGACACGCATTTTTGTTACGGTGTGAAAAAACTGCACGCATTATTTCATATTCGTCTGGATGAAAATTGGAAGATTCCACAAAAGAAGGATAATGAAATTACGTTCTCGTTCACGGCGAAGATAATGCGCGTTTTCCTCGCCAGCATCCGATCGATCGATGGTGACCTAGACCGTCAGCATACCCGACCTTCCCCTACAATTCCACGACGTGGACCCGGATTTCAGAAATTTATTACATACCGACCCCTCATTCTTCTTCCCTATTATGAAGTTGGGATAGTGCGTTACGCCTAACTCTTATCGACTTACTTCTTTAATTTAGGTCATTACGTTTTCCTTGACAATTTTCCCATTGCACCTTTACCTTTTCGCGATCAGACAGAAGTCAATAATCTCTTTTATTTTTGTTGTTTAGTGTAGAAATTGCTTTCTGGTCCGGAGTGCCTTACCGCGAAAAACCTTTTCCCGGCCGATAATTGGTAAATGCTAAGTAACATTGGAACCCTTTTATCAGATTGCTCCATGTGGTTTTTCGTTGACGGAGCTTGCTGAAATTTGAAGAGTGCATTGATTAAGTGTATAAGCGGCAACGAACTCCTTTACTTCCCTAAATCGACGTGACGATGACTTGGCTAGAAACGATAGGATCTTAATTGAACCACATAAGGGAAATAACAAATAAAAACCCTTCAGATTTTATAGACGGGTGTCAATATATTTTTCATTTATTTGCCCGATACAGCACGATCACAGGTTCATAAACTTAGCAACGAACATTTCCAGCAACCTTACATCATCGCCGGTATGTTTATAATCTAACCAATGTGGACTCCCCTAAAAAGTAAGCAACGTATACGTGGACACATGTGATTGAAACACTGTCTGCTATTAAATTTGCATCGATATCGATTAATAAATACAAAAGTTGTCAATGATCTCCTTGTGTTTTCATAGGGAAACGTTTTTTCCACTTGCCACGGAAAAACTAATGTGAAATACCGTTTCGGCTGGTCCATTTTGCATGTTATACTAGATTCAATTTAGATCCTTATCGGTAATTTCTCAGAAAATGTAGGTAGGTATATGAAATTGTGTAAGATATATAGAAATGTTGGAAAAGTGCAGGAAAATTTGAAAATTATTCTAGAAAGAACTTTAGAAATACTCTCGGAAATACTTCAGAGTGTCAAAAATGCTTAGGAAATATTTGGAACGTTTTATAAACATTGGTAATTTATGAGAAATTATAAAACGTTTCCGAGATGTTCGGGAAGAATTTTTAAAGAATTGTGGAAATGTTTCAGAAACGTGTAGACAATTTTAGAAATAAATATTCAAGAAAAATTTAGAGAAAAGGTGAAGGAAAAGTGTACACATTGCAATTTTGCAGGAAATCTTCAACATACTCTGAAATGACATCTCTTAAGACACAAGTCTTCAAAGGATTTAAAATGTGCACCGTGTGATTATAGAACGAAGCACTATACCCGGCGCGTAAGAAGATCACGCACCGCCACTATTCATGTTCTATTAATTGCACCTATTAGTTCACCACTGAGCCATTTGTCTCCTCTTGTAGACTATATAAATTAATAATCTGCGCACAATCCGCTGTAGACTTCTTATGTGGCTGTACCAGAAAGTTAAGTAGGAATGTGTTAACTCACAATACTTCCAAGTATTTAAAATGTGTATGGTGTGATTTTGCAACACATCACCACCATGTCCTGAAACTGCAGCTCTTAAACTCACAAAACCTAAAAGGATTTAAATTACATGAGCATTATATGAGTGTGAGAGAGATACAACTTTAACAATGTTAACAGTAGCAATTAAAGTGTCATTGATAGTGATATGTACTAGCTTACCAAAAGAAGCGCTTTTAGTTTGTTGTGTATTCTGTCTCACTTGAACGCACGTGAAGTGATTGCACGGTCTTTGTTTTACTTACTGTAAGTCAGACCCGCAATAATTTATTATTACTTATACGAGGTTCACCGGCCTATATGAACAAAAAGAAATGTTTGTCTGTCTCTTATGCCTGTCTAAACCGTTCATCCGATTACGATAGAACTTTGGGTAATGGTTGGACCAGGGGTTGGACGTATGTCCGTGCAGGTTTTTGAGTTAGTAAAACTCTTTCTGAAATTCCCACGGGAACGGGAACAGGAAAAAACAGGATTTTATGTTTTACACTAAAAAAGACTGTTTCGAACGTAGGTTTGAAGGCGTTTTAAAATGTAGGTACACGGAAAGAACTTTCCGAAGTTCCCACGGGAACGCGGTACAGGAAAAAACCAGATGGCGCCATTTAAGACCCTGGGGAAATCTCGATGAACTAAAAAGCGACGGTGGCGCCATTTAAGACTCTGGGGAAATCTCGATGAACTAAAAAGCGACGGTGGCGCCATTTAAGACCCTGGGGAAATCTCGATGAACTAAAAAGCGACGGTGGCGCCATTTAAGACCCTGGGCAATTCTCGATGAACTAAAAAGCGACGGTGGCGCCATTTAAGACCCTGGGAAATCTCGATGAACTATAAAGCGACGGTGGCGCCGTTTAAGACCCTGGGGAAATGATGATGAACTAAAAAGCGACGGTGGCGCCATTTAATCTCGATGAACTAAACTGCGACGGTGGCGCCATTTAAGACCCTGGGAAATCTCGATGAACTAAAAAAATCCATAATTTCAAACAGTTCCGGAAAAAATTTTTCTTATAGAACGTGGCCTGTAGAATCCATAATTTCAAACAGTTCCAATATTGGGCTACTAGTTCAAAAGTTACAGCCCTTTGAATTTTCTTTCGAAATTGGTTTCTAGTCTATAACTTTTGATTGAGAAGTCTGATCGAAAAAGTACGAATTGTCTTGGATTCTACGCGCCAAAATTAATAAGAAAAAGTGTTTTCCCGAGAAATTTTGGTGGAGTCGATTTTTGGAAAAAAGGAAGGTTATACACTGCCTTTTTTTTGCCACGAAAAAAAATTGTCTCAGATCGTCCCGGAAAAAAATTTTCTTATAGAATGTGGCCTGTAGAATGCATAATTTCAAACAGTTCCAGTATCGATCGGTTCTTTCCCTACACTGCAGGTGTATTACCGTGAAGCAATATGAAATTTTAGAGACTTAAGGGAGCATCTTTAATGTTTCAGCTCAACTTATGTGATAGATAGTCGCCTATCTATGTAAATACGTTATTTCCATGTATTTAGAGTAGTAACATGTAAGACCAGCGCTTAGAATTTAATTTTATGAAATGAACCGCAAATGATGGTGAAGGTTAAAATTTTAGTTTGGCTGTCGATCAACCCCGAGGCAATTACGTATTCTTTTTGTTGCAGATATGGCTTCCACAGCTGTAAGCAATCACAGTGGGGCTGGTCCCCTAAGCCTAATGTCGTGCGTGAGGGAATCGTCACCCCAAGAATCAATTCCAGACATCGATAACGACAAAACAAGTAAGTAAATCGAGTGCGGATGTTCCCATTTTGTTTAGAAAATCAAATTGCATTTTCCTTCATCTCGTCGTAATTACCGATACTGTTGTCAATTACTAATTAAGATGATCAATAATTGACCTCCATAAGTAAGACTTCATTTTGCAATTAGTAGGATTGAAAACGTGGTTTTCTAATCAGGGGCCATCTAATAAAATAAATACGAATGTTAGTAGGCCATATATCAAAATCAAATGGCATGATTGAGATGCTTTCAAGTAGCCACTTTCACATCAAGTTATAATAAACAAAACAATTGCAATTATTAACAAATAAACCATGATTGAGAAACATTATATCTGGCACCTTCAAAAAAGCATTAAATTATTATAACATTCGCATCCCTTGTGGCTTGTTTGTTGAGCACTGAGCAGCTTTTATTTTTATCGGGTAACTGCATCCAAATTCGAAGTGGGTACAATATCGAAAACGCCCTTTATTTTTGCAAAGAGGACATATTAAATCAGTAAAAAGAAATCTGCCATGTGGCGAACAATGCACTTCATGTCAAAAATACTTCGCATGACCACCAAAAAGTACATCGACTTTTTTGGTATGCGCCTTTTAACGAGCAAACTTGAGATCGTATATGTTGTCTTAATTAATTTTAAGATAATTACGCAAATTACAAGAAAGTTGTTCCGTTTGCGTTTGCAATTTGGCGTTCGTCTCAATAATACCAACAGACTGTCTTTTTAAAAACTAATTGACTAATTAATAGGACAATTGAACCGAAGCACTTCCGCGGGGAAAGCGTAAACAAAGGCGAAGATTCGCACGAGGATATTCGCACTCGACGTATCCGGACTTTTTACAAATTATGCGACGACGAAAAATTCGCGGTAGGACAAAGCCCTTTTAAATATCAAACCGCAAATGAATGTTGAGGAAACGTACCATGTGGATTACCTTGAAGTTTATATTAAATGTTGAAATGCAAGGATGTCATATTTGCTTTTGCAGGTGTTTTAATTAATTTATAATTTTTTTGTAAACGGGGAGAAATTTAAACGACGCAAATGAATAATATTGAAGGTGTACATGTTCCTGTGACAATCCTGCACGTACATTTAAATATTGTAGCAATACATCGGAATGTAATTTTATTTTACGTCATTAACGACATTGGTACTATTGTCAACGTATGTATTAGTTATGAATGGTTAGGAAAGGCGTTCTGTCAACTAAACCCATGCTTAGTGGTTTTATGTCATTGAAGAGCCTGATGACCATCTTTCAGGTGTTAATCTCACCTCTTTTCTCTCTTCTATTCTCTATAGATCTGTCGGCAAAAGTAGCATTCGCAACCCTGTTAGGGTTCCTAGTTCCATCTTGCTAAGGGATAACATCTCGCTATCCTTTCGACGGCGAAACCTTTACGAATATTAACTTGCAGTCCACGGATTCACTTTGGCGCCTTCTTTGTTGCCTGCGATGTGTAAGTCTAAGTCACCTGATTTTTATTGGACTAGAAATTGTTAGTGCTCGCAGATAATGCTTTTTTCCATGAGTAATTTGTCAAATTTTAATTAGTCCTTCTGATAGTGCTTCCTTGATTAATTAATTAGTTACCGTACGTTGACAGTGAGGAGGATTCACAAAGGTTGTCTCTTCTGCATCTCAATTAGGGATGTAAGAATATAAGAACAGGAATAGTGAAAGTAACGTGATACGGTAGCTAATACGTGGTTATTCGCTCTACTTATTTTCAATATATTTTGGCCGTGAGCAAAATGATGACATTAACAGTAACAATGTCTCTCATCTGGTTACGGCAGCATAAATTATTGCGTATAAAAAAAACTCGCCGCACAGCAGCTTGAAACTATCCATATCGAGCGTATTATTTTCTAACGGTACATCAACATTAACGTGTAGGTTGGTCGTACCAATATAGGTCTATTCGAGAGGAAGTAACACGTATGGAACTGTGAATCCGCTTATTCACACTCCTACATCCAATACCCCTCGTATCGTGACCTATTGTGTAGATATTTGATAGAAGTGTATATGTCAGACATGAATGGAATTATATGGACTTCGTTTCTGTAACAAATCTGTAAATGTATTGCACAGCGTAAGATAAGACTGCCCGTCTGATTTCATGCGGATTGCTTTTCGTAATTAACCATAGGTTACATTCGCAAACTTTTTAATTAACTTTGGAAGACTCATTAGGACAGGAAAATTTAATTTTTGCCGTGGCGAGACCAAAAGGGAAAACTTTACTTTTTAGATATGTCTACCCAGTCTCGGGCATATTAAATTGTCTAATAGGCAACCAACGACCGCGAATTTTGCCTTATCAATAGACCGATAATATAGTCAATATAAAATAGTTTTATGTAAAAGCTTTTGAATTTTAATGTCTCCCATGGTTCTACATCGTAATAACTAACAGATTTTTTTTTAATCTTGAGAAGTCGGTTCTTACGAGGACTTTTTTTTTTAATTTTCTACCTAACTATGAAGGAAACCGTGCAAAGCTTCAACAAATTTCTACGTAACTACCATCAGTACCAAAATGCATTTAATCTAGCGTTTCTCCAGCTGTTCCGTTCCATAAAAAAATGGCACTTCACGAGACTCCTAGCTTTCTGCTGCGATGTACTATACAAGAAAAAAATGCACGCGCTTGGGTTCGAACCCGCGTTATCGACCGTTGTAAACCGAGCTTGCAACTGATCGCTATACGATTCCCTTTATAATATTCGCTTATACTGATATAAATACGACAAACTAATACATACAATTAATAAGTAGTCACTTTAAATTTAATCTTCCATTCGATCGACGAATTTAATTTCATATAATAATAATAATAATAGCCATTTATTGAGTTGATACAGATTGGTTAAAAATAAAATTAATATAGATTTACCCTTATACTTTTGTGCAATCCAATGGGGCGAAGTTCAGACACGTAGAATAAACTATCGTCTGTTCTACCACTTAACCCCTTCTAATATTCGTTCGTTTGTTCATTCGTCCATCAGACAGCAGTACATCTTCCACAAGACTATAACCCTTCAAACCCTTGAAATATTTTTTCAGTCATAATTAAGATGATTGGATGAAAATTTAAAAATACGCCCTCGTATAAATGAATGTACGAAGTTCCATAACAACTCAAATTGTTTGTAATACGTAGTACATAATGAATTTGGAAAAATATTCCTCTGAACGGACTGCATAACAACAATTTCAAATTTACTAAAATAAATCAATGTACTTAACTATAATTTAATTCGACGAGGTTACCGTTAAGAGGGATTCTATAAGAAATATAATTATGATGTTTCCACGGACTGACATCTATCGTAATATCAGTCGAGCGTGCGAATGTCTATTTTTTAAACTCATTGCAAAAAAAATACCAATAGATTAGCGATGGCAATTAGAGAAACGTTATTATACATTTAATTTGTTAATTAAATAAATCTTTTCTCCTGATCTTACTTTATTAGGTAACATGTGCTTGATAGAATTATGTAAGTGTGTAATTTCATCGTTTTGTGGTCCGGTATTAAGAAATTTATACATATGTATGCTACATTGCAAGTAAGGTGTAAGGCTGCTTGTGAATTTTTACCGCAACGCTTTTTTAATTGAGGTTATGTACAGAACGTACAGAGGTTTCGTTTCAAAACGAACCACAGATTGTAAGTTGTTCTTTGGTAAAAAATCAAAAATTGCAAAACAACATACTTTTAGTATTCATCTCCGCACCCCTAACTGCTCCAACTCTTGGTCTGATTATGAATTAATCTTATAAAAACCAAGGAAAATACAAAATAAACGAATATTACTTATTTCACGATTTGATTGTGAAATGTATTTCATTAAATGCTCGTTTTTTACTTGTACACAGGAAATAATAGTCTGTGTTGTAATTCCCTACGGGCATTAACAAAAGTGGCTCGTAATTGTCTACATTCGTGTATCTCTAGTAGAGTCTTATATCCGTTTTCAAATGTCCTCAAAGAAAGGAATCAAGCGGAGCCAAATCGGGGTACCCTGGTGGCACGTCCTCTGCCAATATATTTACCCGGATACCGTCGATTGAGCCACTGTTTAACAACCAGAGCATATTGTGACTGAGCTTCATCTTGCTGAAAAGTGCATTTTTTTTTGTTTAGCGGAGTCAAACCTCGCCCTCTACCACTCATCACATTTTTACAAAAAACACTGTATTCATGTAAAAATCTGATTACAAGAACAGAGGCCTTTCCAATAAGACCAATTATGTGAAAATCGATTAACCCAAACTGAATTGATCTACTTAAAGAGATGTTCTCCTTCCCCCTCTCCTCATTATGAGCTTGGGCTATATGTGCTGCGTTAAAATGATGCAAAATTCATAAAAGATTGCGATGCATGTATTTTTTATGCATGTTTATTGGGTGTATTTTATTCCCTCTACTTGAATTAATCGTACGCCCTCTAGCGGCATGCCTAGAAACTTGAAAATAATTTCCAGCCTTTTATGTCAGCAAAATCTTTTCCGCCAAGCTGGGCAATTAATAGCTTCTTAGATACAGCCTGTGACCTTTATTAATAGGACACCCTGTACGTTGGTTGTTACTTTATACATATTTTAATTTGTAATTTTGATTGAAAAATACGTTTATTTAGATGACTAGGAGGAAATTTAATGGAACCTTACCTTCATTTTAGGATTTGCTCCCTCACCACTATCCACTCCCACTTTAAAGCTATAAAATATACAACTTGGTTTTCAAAACCGATTTGTACAAACACAATTGTAAGTACTTGTACTTGGATAACGAAAATGTATATTTTGGCAATTTTTCTTTGCAAAATTACAAATTGTAGTCAGTGGTTCGTTTTGTAGTGAAGGCCTTAAAAGTTAAGCTAGTAAAAATTAACTCCAAACTTTGTATTTATATGACAGGTCAAGACGGAGACAAACTTGTTACTATTACCGTTGAGTGAAGGAT